TCCAGGCTGTAACGGAAGACCAGTAGAAGACGGGAGGCTAAGAACCTGGCGAAGCACGGAGCCAGGCGGTGGCAGAGACGAAGGTGACGGCGGAGCGAAGAACAGTCACGGCGGTGCAGTGCCACCAGCACCAGTAGCTCCAGCACCTCCTGCAGCTCCAGAACCTCCAGCGCCAGCACCCGCAGCAGCTCCAGAACCTCCAGCTCCGGCGCCACCAGCGCCAGCACCTCCAACAGCTCCAGAACCTCCAGCGCCAGCACCCGTAGCAGCTCCAAAACCTCTAGCTCCAGCGCCACCAGCGCCAGCACCTCCAACAGCTCCAGAACCTCCAGCGCCAGCACCCGCAGCAGCTCCAGAACCTCCAGCTCCAGCGCCACCAGCACCAGCACCTCCAACAGCTCCAGAACCTTCAGCGCCAGCACCCGCAGCAGCTCCAGAACCTCCAGCTCCAGCGCCACCAGCGCCAGCACCTCCAACAGCTCCAGAACCCCCATCTCCAGCGCCACCAGCAGTAGCACCCCCAGAGCCGGCACCTCCAACTCGAGGGCCTCCAACCTCAGAGTCGACAGCAGCACCTCCAGGTCCAGCCGGACCTCCAGTCCCAGCAGCTCCAGTACCTCCAGTACGAGCACCTCCGGGACCAGCTGCTCCAGGAACTCTAGTAGACTCAACTCGAGTAGCAAAGTCACCAGCTCCAGCGCCTCCCGCAGCAGGGCCCCTAGCTCCAGCAGCGCGACCCTGACGGCTAACGTACCACTCACGCAGCTGCTGTGGGGAGAGAGGGACAGCGCCGGCTCCAGTGCCTCCAACACCTGCGCCTCCCGCAGTAGGGCCCCCAGCTCCAGCAGCTCGACCCTGACGGTTAACGTACCACTCACGCAGCTGCTGTGGGGAGAGAGGGAGACGACGACGAGAGTGCAGCGGCGAGGCACCAGCGGAGCGACTACGGAGACGGCCGCTCCAGGGAGACTGCTCACCAGACGCCTCAGCGCCCCCAGGTGCAGCACCCCCAGACTCCTCACGCCCAGGCTCAGCACCTCCAGGCTCCGCACCCCCAGGCTCAGCACCCCCAGGCTCCGCACCCCCAGGCTCAGCACCCCCCGAAGCAGCACCCCGAGCAGGACCACCCGCAGCAGGACCTGAGTCACCAGTGACCTCAACCGGCGCAGTCAAGGGAGGAGGGTCTACCTGAGACACACCTGAAGGAGCAGGACTGGGAGCGGGGAGGGGGTCTACCTGGGGAGCACCTGGAGCGAGGAAGAGTGGCGGGGGGGGGAGAGGGGCAGTGCGGTAGGGGAAGAGACGGTAAAAGGGAACCGACTCGTCGAACGTGACGTCCTGAGAGGGGAAGATACGGCGCGAGGTGGGGTGGTAAAACTGCCAGCCAGGCGCGTCAGGGACAAAGCCAAGGAAGACATAGGGAACAGCGCGGGCGGAGAGCTTGTCCGCGGTGGTATCGCGGACAAAGGCACGAGAACCCCAGACCCGGAACACTGAGGCATCGCCAACCTCCCCCGTCCACCGCAGTGTGGGCGAGGTCTCCGGCAAGGAGACACGGGGCCAGAGGTTGAGCTGATGCGCGGCGTAGCAAACCGCAAACAGCCACAGACAATGGGGGGCAGCCGCATGGACCATGGAGGTACGAGCGACCTCCATGACCAAGCCAATGCGGCACTCAGCAACCCCATTCTGCTGCGGAGAGGCCGGAAGCGTGAACGTCTGGCGAATGCCCTCCCCACGACAAAAGCTCTGCAATAGGTCGGAGGAAAACTCCCCACCTCTGTCAGAGTGCAGATGCAGGACGGGCAACTCCGTCCTGAACCGCTCGCGGAGCTGGAGACGGGCAGCGCAGATCCAAGGGATCAAAACATCAGGGACCTCACCCTTGGTGCGCAAGGGGAAGACCGTGGTGTAACGCGAGTAGTCGTCAACAACCAGCAGGAAGTACCGCTCGCGGTCTTGCCCACTGACGCGGGCTGGGCCCCACACATCCATGTGCAGGGTCTGCAGGGGAGCAGTCGTCGGGGGAAACGAGGAGGAGTGAGGAGCGGCGCGCTGCCGCCTCTCGACACAGGGAAGACAGGGAGGAGCAGGCGAGGGTGGGAGGGGAGGGAGAACCCTGGGAAGACCAGAGACAAGGACACGGCGGTGCATGCTACGAAGGCGCTGCACCGAGGGGTGACCAAGACGGTGGTGCCAAAGGAGGGTCTGGTGCGACAAAGCGCGACACGAGCAGGGGGCGGCTAGTTGACCTGACGCAGACGCAGACGCAGCGACCTGAGGGGACACAGTAGTCAGTGTGTACAGACTCGAGCCAGGCGCACGGGTAAACGTGGCCAGGTGCCGGCCCGTCCGGGAGCACATACAGTGGGTCACGCGCTGACCTCCAGGAGTGAACTGGTCAACCCACTGGTCCTGGAGGTCAGCACCACTCACCAAGTTCGTAGAGAACGAGGGGAGGTGAAGACCTAACAGGGAGCCAGACGGGACCGCCGGACACGGCAGGACCGTGGAGGAGTGCGCAAGGACTGGACCCCCAGAGGGGTCTGCCAGGGAGACTGCAACCGGCCGACTGAGCGGCGTGAGGGTGGTGCTATCGCGAAAGAAGGAGCGAGAAGCACCTGAGTCAAGTGTGAAGGTGTACAAGGCCTTAGCAGGCGCAGTACCAGAGAGAGCACACTCACCAGCACCTGGAGCAGAAGCCTCACCAGCACCTAGAGCAGGAGACGCACTAGCACCTAGAGCAGCAGCCTCACCAGCACCTAGAGCAGGAGACGCACTAGCACCTAGAGCAGCAGCCTCACCTGCACCTAGAGCAGCAGGCTCTATACCTGGGTCAAGCGGTACGCACAGGTAACAGGCACGGTCATCACTAGTAGGCAATGCATACATGGCAGTGAGAATAGCATCGTAGTCAAGAGCAAAGATATCTACCCTCTGCCTAAGCAGCTCCAGCCAGGTGGGGAGCTCAGCCTCGTCGCCAAACTCGGTACGCCAGGCGTCGCTCAGACGGGCGAAGCAGCGGGACTGTGTGTGACCAAGCGTCCCGCAAGCGTGACCAGCCCGATCACCTGTGCGAATGACGTACGGGCAGCGAACGGTACTCCAAGACCCTCTACTCTGAGCGTACCACTCATGAAGCTGCTGGGGCGTAAGTGTCTAGCGCGGACGCCGCTGCAGCTGCAGCTGGCCACTGGCAGACGCTCCCGACTGACCAGCTCCAGGGCGACAGCTACGACGGCTACCGCCACAACCCCAACTAGCGTACCACTCACGAAGCTGCTGGGGCGTGAGAGACTCGCGCACACGTCGCTGGAGCTGCATCTAGCCACCGCCAGTAGTAGTAGTAGCAGTAGTAGCAGCACCAGCAGCAGTAGCAGCCTAGCAGCAGGAACAGAAATAGCAGCAGTAGCAGCAGTAGCAGCGCGGGCAGGGCAGGCGCGGCAGGCAGGCAGGCCGGCAGGCAGGCAGGCAGGCACGCAGGCAGGCAGACAGGCAGGCAGATGGCGCGGCAGCGCGCGAACAAGGCAGGTGCTCACCAGTGGCGGGAAGGGCAGGCGCTCACCGGGCGAGCAGGGCCGGCGCTCGGCGGGCGGCAGCCGGGTAGGCGCACGACGGCGGCGAGGGCGGGGCCGCGACAGCTGCGGCAGAGCAGGGCCGCGTCAGCTGCTGCAGGGCAGGGCCGTGACAGCTGGTGGAGGCTCCGCGGCAGCTGCTGCAGGGCAGGGCCGCTACGGCGGCAGAAGGCTACGCGGCAGCTGCTGCAGGGCGGGGCCGCGACCGTGGCAGGGCGCTCCGCGGCAGCTGCTGCAGAAGCGACGGCGGTAGTCAGGCAGGGGCAGCGTCAGGGGGGGGGGGGGGGGGGGCGACAAGGAGGGACGGCACCCAGGGGGCGTCGCGATAGGAAGGGGGCGACGTCCAGGGGCCGCGACAGCGGCAGGTCGAGGCCGCGTCAGCGGCAGGACTGGGCCGCGACAGCGGCATGGCGGGGCCGCGTCGACGGCAAGGCGGGGCCGCGACAGCGGCAGGACGGGGCCGCGTCGGCGGCAGTAGAAAGCAGCGCGAGGGCTGCGGAGCTGCGCGCGGGGCATGAGAAGGCAACGCGGGGGCTGCGGGGCGACGCGCGGGCCTGACGAGGCAGCTAGCGAGCTATGCGCGGGGCTGACGAGGCAGCTGGCGGGCTGCTAGCGGGCTGTACGAGGGCCAGCAGAGGCGAGCGCGAGGGCTGCGCGACTCAGGGCAGTGTAGGCAAGGGGCGGGGTAACTCGGTAACCGGCGGAAAACAGGTGGTGGGCCCTGAAAAACAGTCCTAAAACGGTTCTAAGGACCTATGTTGCTCTTAATACCATGTCGAGAGTAAAGGGAAAAGGTGTTGCACTATCGAGAAAGTTGGGTACGAATAACAAAACATATACCCTACATTAGCTACCCCACTAAAGCCTACATTTTATTATGACATAGGCATATAAATTTGACAATATAAGAACAATATATCTACACATCCACATAGAGGACCCTCATACAGTTTCGGCTACACTGGTGTCACTCATTGCTTGTCGGGCACGAGTATGTTGTTAATGCCATGGACATAGAAGGATGTGCCCTTGTACAGGTTGGGGTACACTATGGTGGCGTTGCGCTCATTGGATGGCGCCTGCAGCACCACGTGCGTTGCGTTGCTTGCACTGTTCTTCACCAGGTACTTTCCTGGAAGCAGCGTTGAGTACTGGCGGAGAGGGGAGCAGAAGGGATGGGTATGGTGCGGGCGAGGGAGGAGTGGCGAGTCATCGGTGAGCTGAGGAAGCATAGGGGATTAAGAACGAATGTGATGAATCAACAGTGACTCGGAAGACAGAGGAGAATCAAGTGACCCTGAAAAAACCATGCAAGCGGCGCACTAAAACACATGAACGGAAGCTCAAGATGAACATATCAGTCATTTTGTTGGTTCCTCCCCTTTTAACAACAGACTCGCAACAAGAAGCGTGGAGTGCACACACCTGCGTGCCAGGAGCACCCGCTAGCAGATCCGCGTGTGATTTATATCCGTCAATGATTTGATAGAGTGTAGTTTCGTCTGTAGTGTACCCGTTACAGACTGTCACTGCACCGCCCACCACAGCATCCATGGCGTTGGGCAGGGGCATGAGAATGGTGGCCTTCTTGTTGCCTCCTAGAATGTCGCGCATTGTGGTTACCAAATCTGATGCGCCAGAGAGGTGGGAGGAAGGGAGGGAAGGGGGGAGGGAGGGAGGGAGGGAGGAAGAAAACAGCGTCCATGGCGTTGAGCAGGGGCATGCGGATGGTGGCCCTCTTGTCGCCTTCGAGAAATGTCGCGCAGTGTGGTTACCAAATCTGATGTGGAGAGGGGGGAGAGAAGTAGGGCGGGAGGCAGAGAGGGAGGGAAGGGGTGACGGAAGAGGAGGCGGGTGGGAGGGATGGAAGATGAATACAAGAAACATTCAAATCCAAGAGGGGTGAACCAAACAATGAGCGAGTTGACTTTTGAATCGACTCACAAGAAACATACAAATTCAACAGAGGAGAACAAGGGATTGAGCAAAGGCGCATGCGCACGCATGGACGCATGGGCGCATGAACGTATGGTCACATGGGCTCATGGGCGCTTGGTCGCATGGGCGCATGGTCGCATGGACGCGCGGACGCATGGGCGCGTGGAAGCGAGACGCACCTGACTGCGACGCCATGAGGAGGAACGCACCGTAGGGAAGATGAATGCAACAAACAGACGTACCAAACAGAGGAGAACAAGAGAGTGAGCGAGGGCGCATGACGAACGCATGGACGCCTCAACGCATCGGGACGCATCGGGACGCACCTGACTGCGACGCCATGAGGAGGAACGCCGGGCTCCCCGCCGCCAGCGCCGCCAGCGCGCCATGAATTTCCGTCAGCTGCGCTGACGTGGCAGCCGACAGCAGATTCCGGCGGTCCGTCGGCGAAGAGGCACCGGCGATGGGAGGGATGGACGAGGCGAGGAGGAGAAGCAAGGAGGCGGCGGTGAGGACGGATCGCGACGCGCCGAGTGCATCATGCCGCGGCGGTTTGGCGGCGAAAACGAGTGGTGTCATCTTGTGGCCTTTCTCGTCTGCTGGAGGAAGAAAGACTGCTGCCTACGAGGGACGGCGCTAACAAGCGACTTTTGAGGGAAAGATGACGTCTCCAGAGGCGACGCGCGTGTCGAAAATCTGCGTTCGGATCTGCTATCGATACGATTCTGACTTGATGCGATATGGATGTCCTCGGTATACTACGAGCTTGGTGAAGGAGAGGTTGCACCTGGCAGGTTCGAGACTGCGAACTGACGCCTCTTGCGGCGAAGCTTCGGGAGTCACGATAGGTGGGTGTGGGGGAGGGAAACGGGCGAGGGTGGAACAGAGGCACGGGGGGAAGATAGCAACCAGAGGATGGAAGTACTACGAATAGGATTCAACGATGCAAGCTCAGACGCAGAATTCGCTAGCATCAGGGTAAATTGGAGATGGATTTGGGTGGGAGGGCTGGTGCTACCGCTTGTGTGGGAAAGGTGGCGATTCCTTGAAATGGAGAGCACGGGAGCAATTTCATATTTCGCTTGGGGAAAGGTGCACAGACCTTTCAACCGTTTTGGAATGCAAATTGTCGCCGAGAACCTTACCAAACCGAGAGAGGGCAGCAACACACACTTGGTTGGTGGCTGCTGTGGTGTGGCAAGAGAAGGGAAGTGGAGGGGGAGGCGAGGCGAGGCGAGTTGGGGAAGGCGATGGTTGTGTGCCGCCCGCCACGCTTGGACAGCTGGTGCTGGGCTGGCGACGCGCACCGACCTAGGTGATTGGGCGGCCTTCGATTTATTTCAATGCAGACGTCGTGTACACTTTGCCCACGGTACATTCAAAATACCGGTAGTCAAATCACTCATGAAAATACTAAAAAGTGCTCCCTTTCTTACCTTGCAAAAACCAAGTTACAAAGAAAGCATTTCTATTGACAAACTCTGTAATTTCCGTACCTTCTAATCCTAGAATAACTACCTATCCCCAGCCTCCCCCCATAACCCCATCTCCAGGCCTGTCCATGCGATAATTCCCGTGCTGCCCTGCATGCCTCGAAGGGGGAAGTGGAGGCATGTTATAGCCTGTCATACCACCTCCATCCACTCCTCCACCCATCCCAACCCCTCCCATACTTCCACCCATCATCCCCCCTCCCATACCTCCTCCCATTCCCCCACCCATCCCTCCTCCCATCCCTCCTCCCATGCCCCTTCCCATTCCCCCTCCCATGGCGCCACCAGGGCCACCAGCAAAAGCACCCAGCCCCCCTGAAGAGGGCCCTTGGGGGAAGAATTGCCCCCCTGCAAAGGCACCTCCATCTCGCGCCATCCCTCCCATACCTCCTCCCATTCCTCCCATTCCTCCTCCCATGCCTCCTCCCATGCCTCCTCCCATGCCTCCTCCCATGCCTCCTCCCATGCCTCCCCCCATACCTCCTCCCATACCTCCTCCCATGCCTCCTCCCATAATGCGGGAATTCTGAGCTTGCTGGTTCTGCTGCTGCTGCTGTTGGTGGGAGGGCGACGGGGAAGAGGGAGGGTAGGAGGGAGTGGGTGGTGTGGCAGGCAGGTAGTTGGCAGGGAGAGGGGGCATAGTGGGGGGGCGAGCAGGGGCAGGGGGAGAGGAGAATTGGGGTGGGAGAGATGAGGGCGCGGAAGGGAAGTGAGGAGGGAGGGGAGGTTGACGGGTGGATTGAGGGGGGTTGGGAGGGGTGGAAGGGGTGGGAGGTGGAGGGAGAGGAGGACGATTGAGAGAGGGAGAAGGAAAGCCAGAATGAGGAGGATTAGGGGGAGTGGATTGGAATGCACTGCTGCTGGGAGGGAGAGGAGGGTGGGATGGAGAGTGGGTGTGCGAAGAGAAGAAGGTAGAGGAAGGGGAGGCAGGAGGAGCAGACAGTGGAAGGGGAGGTTGAGGGAGGGTAGGGGGGCGGGGGACAGGAGGAGGGTTGGGTTGGGAGGGGAGGTTTGAGGGAGCGAGTGAGGGAGGTGGAAGGGGGCAGGAGGGGAGGGATGAAGGGGGAGGCGGAAGTGGAGGGTGCTTCTGCTGTTGTTGCTGCTGCTGCTGCTGCTGCTGCTGCTGCTGCAGCTGCATGGGAGACAATGAGGGTGCAAGCGGGGCAAAGCTGCCTGAACGAGCAGATTCTGGAGGAGAGGGAAGAGGGGGCGCAGCAGAGTGCAGAGGGAGGGGTGGCTGGCGCGCGGGCGGCGGGAGGGGAGGGGGGAGGGAGGCTGGGGCGTGTGGGGAAGCAGGTGGGGCGTGGGGGGAAGCGGAGGGCCTGAGGGCAGCAGGTGAAGGGGGAAGGGGAGCAGCAGTGGGGGATGCCCGCCCTGCACTGAGTGTGCTTCCACCAGCCGCACCTGACCCCACTGCCCCCACTGCTCCCCTTTCACCACCCCCGGCTCCCCCACCCCCTCCTCCCCTTGCTATTCCTCCGCCCCCTCCTGCCTTTCCTCCGCCCAGCCTCCCACCAGCAACACCGCCAGAGGGACTCGCAGGGACCCCAGCAGTTGCACCTGCTCTACTCGGCCCAGACCCCCCAACCACTCCACCTGAACCTCCCCCTCCTCCCCCTGCTCCTGCTCCTCCTGTTGATCCCGCTCCTGCTGCTCCGGCTGCTACTGCCGCTGCCATCGCTGCTGCTCCTGCTAGCCCTGCTGTCGCCCCTGCCACTGCGACTGCCTTCCCTCCCCCATCCGCCAACACTGACCGCCCAAAGCCCTGCCCATGCCACCCCTCTTCATGCCCCTCCTCCCCTCCCTCCGCCCCTCCCATCGCGCATATACTTTCAGGCGAGGTGGCGGGAGTGAGTGAGGGAGGAGTGGGGAGGAGGAGGTGGGGGCGGGAGGGGTGGGGGGCGATCGATGGGTGGGCGGAGCGGGTGTGGGAGGAGAGGAGAGAGAGGCGGGGGAAGGAGAGGAAGCAGTTGGGGGCGGCGCAGATGTAGAGGCCTCCTTGGTACGCGGAGACAGGGTGCACTGCTGTGATAGGCGCCAGGCACCTGGTGGGAGGGAGAGAGGGAATGAGGGACGGAGCGAGGGAGGGAGGGAGGGAGAAATAAGAGTGCGGATGGGCATGGGGGGCAAAGGAACAAGGTGTAGAAGTTGGGTGCAGCGCAGATGTAGAGGGTGCTGGGAGGGCAGGATGGTGAGGGGATGCGTGAGGGGGTGGGTGAGGGGATGGCGGTGGCGGGATGGGTGAACAGATGGGGAGGGGAGCGGAGGATGGTCACGTCACGGGGATGGGGAGGAGGAGAAGGAAGAAGGTTGCGACGGATGGGTGTGAATAGCGTGATAATTCTGATACGAAAGAGTGCGTGAGAAATATGAACCACTTGCCCTTAGAATCCACGCAAAACAAAATAATCAATGGGCAAGATTTTTTCGATGGTACACGTGTCACTGAAGCAGAAACCTGGGAGGGAGTTTCGGACTTGGGTGGAGGGGAGCACGTGGTCTGCTATAACGCGTGTGCTCCATACAATAGTGCCGGCATCTTGTAGAACCATCGCGCGGATGGTTTCCATGGTGCGACACATCTTAAGTGATGAGGAGATAAAAATTATGCGGAGCAACAAGGCCGCGCTCTTGAGTTGGTGAAATATGATTAAAGATGCAAACTTGGAGAGGGAACAGTGGGGTGCTGACGGCAAATACCTGCCAAGCGTTTGGGCTCGTGTTCAAAGTGTGAGGGTGCTGGAAGGGGCTGCTATGCGTGGACTCTCCCATAATAGCAGCCCCTTCCAGCACCCTCGCACTTTGAACACGCGCCCAAACGCGTGGCAGGTATCTGCCGTCAGCACCCCACCGTTCCCTCTCCAAGTTTGCGTCTTTAATCATATTTCACCAACTCAAGAGCGCGGCCCTGTTGCTCCGTATAATATTTATCTCCTCATCACTTAAGATGTGTCGCACCATGGAAACCATCCGCGCGATGGTTCTAGAAGATGCCGGCACTATTGTATGGAGCACACGCGTTATAGCAGACCATGTGCTCCCCTCCACCCAAGTCCAAAACTCCCTCCCAGGTTTAGGCTTCAGAACACGTGTACCGTCGAAAATATCTTGCCATTATTGTCAACACAGAAAGCATAACCCCGAAGTAACTACATAGCATGGCTGTGCACGAGCATCAACTTACTGCCGCATGCTACTGCCACAGCACCATCCCCACCATCCCCATCATCCCAACCATCCCCACCATCTCCAAATGGCTGCACCGGAGGAGAATCACTCCACAAAAACAAAAAACCGCCCCTTACACTGGAGGAGACTCATCGCCATGCGTGCTTGCCATGCACACACACACGCACAATGGCGTTGGCGCTCTGGAAAATGAGCGCCAAGCAACAAAATACTTGACGATCATTTTGACACCGAAGGTTCCGTAGACTTTTTTTTAAGCCTCACTGTAGAAATTTTGCACAAACATTTTCACGTAGTAATTCCGACTCGAAGTCTTGAAATCTAAAAGCTGCTTCACAAAAAAGCAACCCCAAACCAAACCAACTAACATTTCAGCCCCCAAAAGCTTTGAACGCCGCACAACATCGACAAAACCTAACCAACGCACAACACAAATATCTGATTCTGCAAACTCCAACTCGCCATTAAGGCTTCGGTTTTTCTCGACCGACAATTATAACTGCAACTTAAACGCCATAACAGCCACTTCGCAGGCAATTATGTCCCGAAACCAATCAAAGGGTGGACCTTTCTTGCCTGATTGTTTTAGCTGCCCGCCGAAGCATTTTTGCAACTATAAGAAAAATCGCTGGACTCGCAAAGCTCTGAACGCTAACGGGCTGGCATGCAACTCGCCTCGCCCTCTTGCAGACTTGCATCCACCCACAGGTGCACACCCACAGAGCAGCAGCCAGGCGGGCGTTAAGTGGCTGACATGAAAAGGGGTTTAACAGGGTAACTAGCGGGGCTGACCTGTAGCAGGCTTTGAGCGCAGAGGCACACTTGAGGCAGAATGCGTGCGTGCAAGGCTCCTGGTGGCGGGCGGGGGTGGAAACGGATGAACAGAGGCGCACTTTGAGGCAAAAGCATGCATACGGAGTTTTAGAAGAGAAGGTATGAAACCGAAGCATTCAGCTTCGAGTCAGAATGCGTGCGTGCAGGGCTCCTGGTGGTGGGGATGGGGATGGATGGATAGAGACACGATTTGATGCAAAAAGCATGCATACGGGAATGGAATGCGTGTGAGCAGGGATCCTGGTGGTGGGGGAATGGATGAGCGGCAAGCTAAAGATAGAGTGGGCAGATAGAGTGGGCGGATAGAGTGGGCAGATAGAGTGGGCAGATAGAATGGGCAGATAGAGTGGGCAGATAGAGTGGGCAGATAGAGTGGGCAGATAGAGTGGGCAGATAGAGTGGGCAGATAGAGTGGGCAGATAGAGTGGGCAGATAGAGTGGGCAGATAGAGTGGGCAGATAGAGTGGGCAGATAGAGTGGGCATGGACCTCAATCAACGAACCCGGAGGAGGATTCACTCAAACCTGCATGACCAAACAGCCAAACCCAGACTAGCCCATGCCCAACCGCTCCGTTTTCGACCCGGGCCTGGCCTTTTTCTTGGACTGGTCGGCCTGGGTCGGGCCGGGCTGGATTCGGCTCAAGTGAAGTGAACTGACAAGGTTTGACTTTTGCCTGCTTGCGGAAAGTCGAATCGGGTTCGGGCCGGTTTGACTCAAGCCGCGGCCCAATGCGAATGTTGCGTGGCCTGGCCAGAACACATGTGACAGAACACATGTGACAGATTGCGTGAGGGTGGTTTTAGGACTAAGCGATGAAAAGCCGGAGCTCACTTCTTAGCTCCAGCCTTCATCTTTCTGGCCAGCCTAGTCTCTGACTGACCTCATTCCCCACCAAAGTACCATGTTTGTATTGTATGACTGGCTGGCTTCCAATAGTTAGTGAAACTAATTACCTTTGAGGCGCCTAAATAAAAACTACCCATACTGAGGGAGACTACAACGAGATGGCCCGGGCTGAACTCAAACCGCCCCTCCCCCTCCAACGAGCCGACTAAGGTTCGACCCGAACCTCTAATAGACCGGGTACACTTGGGGGAACCTGAGCCCAGGTTGCTCACGAACCGCCTGCTTCGGCCCGATCCTGCCATCAGCCCGACTAAGGTTCGACCCATGGCGGAACGGGTTCACCCGTGCTCATGCCTAGCTCAGAAGGGAGTGGGAGAGAGGAGAATGAGGAGGGAACGTGGAGGTGAAAGAGGGGGGTTGCGGAGGCAAAAGAGGAGGGGTGCAGAGGTGAAAGAGGAGGGGTGCGGAGGTGAAAGAGGAGGGGTGCGGAGGTGAAAGAGGAGGGGTGCGGAGGTGAAAGAGGAGCGGTGCGGAGGTGAAAGAGGAGGGGTGCGGAGGTGAAAGAGGAGGGGTGCGGAGGTGAAAGAGGAGGGGTGCAGAGGTGAAAGAGGGGGGGTGCAGAGGTGAAAGAGGGGGGGTGCGGAGGTGAAAGAGGAGGGGTGCAGAGGTGAAGGAGGGGGGGTGCGGAGGTGAAAGAGGAGGGGTGCAGAGGTGAAGGAGGAGGGGTGCGGAGGTGAAAGAGGAGCGGTGCGGAGGTGAAAGAGGAGGGGTGCGGAGGTGAAAGAGGAGGGGTGCAGAGGTGAAAGAGGGGGGGTGCAGAGGTGAAAGAGGGGGGGTGCGGAGGTGAAAGAGGAGGGGTGCAGAGGTGAAGGAGGGGGGGTGCGGAGGTGAAAGAGGAGGGGTGCAGAGGTGAAGGAGGGGGGGTGCGGAGGTGAAAGAGGAGGGGTGCGTGAGGCAGTGGGGAGAGGTGCGCGAGGCAGTGGGGGGAGGTGAGGTGCGCGAGGCAGTGGGGGGAGGTGAGGTGCGCGAGGCAGTGGGGGGAGGTGAGGTGCGCGAGGCAGTGGGGAGAGGCTGGGGGGTAGTGGGGATGGGGGGTGCGTGGGATGGGAGCTCACGAGGCAGCCATAGGAGGCGATGGGGAGGCTGCGCTTGGCGCACAAGTGCAGGCGGGTGCCCGAGCAGTGCACCACGTGGTAGTGCGGTTGAGAGCGGTGGTGATGGGGGGACGTGCCAGGGGAACTTACAAGGCGGCCGTAGGAGGCGATGGGGAAGTGGCACTTGGCGCAGAAGTGCAGGCGAGTGCCCGAGCGGCGCACCACACGGAAGCCCTCCACCCGCACGCCCCTCACCTCCCTCTCCCTCACTGCCCTCTCCGCCTCCATCAACTCCTCCCCCTCCCCGTCCTCCTCTTCTTCCTCCTCTTCTTCTTCCTCTTCTTCCTCGTCGTCCTCCTCCTCCTCCTCCACATCCTCCCCCTCCTCCTCTTCTTCCTCCTCCTCTTCTTCCTCCTCGCCATCTTCATCCATCCATCCATCACCCCCCTCCTGCACTGACTTTGACTGCTCCCTTCCCTCCCACACCTCTTCCCCCTCCTCACTCTCCTCATCCGACTCCTCCTCTTCCCCCTCCTCCGCCTCCTTCCCTTCCTCTTCCTCCTCCTCCTCTTTACCCGCCCCCTCTTCCCTCGTCTTTTCTGCATTTCGGCCATTTCCCCCCTCCCGCTCCTCCTTACCCTCCCCCTCGTATTCCTCTCTATCAATCTCGTCTTCTCCATAATCCACCTTTTCCTCCTCCTCCTCCTCCTCCTCCTCCTCCTCCTCCTCCTCCTCCTCCTCAACCTCCTCCCCTTCCCCACCCGCTTCCTCCCCTTTCTCCCCTGCTTCCGCCACGATCTTCTCTGTCCCCTCGTCCCCGCTCTCCCCGCTCTCCCCGCTCTCCTCGCGCTCTTCGTATTCGCCGAATCGATCTTCTCGCCCCTCGTCGCGCCGCGCCGCCTCGGCCTGCTCGTTCCGATCCATCTCCCTCGTCAGCCGTCGCTCACTCCTCTTCGCTTTCGTCGCCACCGTCGTCGCCGCATCGCCATCGTCGCGCACCGCGGAGACTGTTTCCGCCGCCAGTCGTCGCTTCACTCCGCCCATCGTCGCCCGCTTGGTGTTCCGCGCGCCAACCTGCTATCGAGTCTGCGCGCACACTGGCGGCGAATAAGGAAGCGGAACTTCACACCTGCAGTTGATTCCGTCAAGCCAACCAGCTATCGAAAAGGGACTGGCGAGAAGGGACAGGCGTTTCACATCCGCTGCTGGTTCAGCCACGAAAGCTCAACATACAGGGACGGAGCAGACAACAAACACACAGGACAAAAACGCCGCGCATGAGTATACAGGTTTCACAAATGAACTGAAAAGCACTAAGGGTTCATTTCTGAAGCGCGTCACAAAGGCCTCGCGTCTCAAACGAAGAGATGCAGTGCGGTGGAAATGTTAGACACTTAGGTGTAATGCGGTGCAGACTGGTACAGCGGTTTTATGACGCGATTGAGACATTTGTGTCCAGAGCGGAAATTACCCTAAACCTACAGAACTTGCTAAGAAATTCTAAAACGAGGATAGATTCTAGTTGATTGCATCGGCTACTCGCGTCCCCGCAGCTTGCAGAATCTCGGCGAATTGTTGTGTGCGTGGCATAGGATTGTCCGGGCTCGGCTTTATGGGCCCATTGTAGGGTTTTGCCCGTAGTTCAAGTAAAACTGTAACTGCTGCGTCGTTGCCGACGTGACGTTGTTGTAGGCGAACTCGATTAGCAGCAACTGTTGCTCCCATGTTGTCGGGTCGCCGCACGTAGCACGAATACTACTCCATGGTTTGGTTCGTCCGTTCCGTCTGACCATTGGTATAGGGGTGGTACGACGAACTGAACTGCTCCCGGGTCCCGAACTGTTCCCGGGTCCCGAACTGCTCCCGGGTCCCGAACTGCTCCCGGGTCCCGAACTGCTCCCAAAGGTTCTTCTAGAAGTTGCTAGTAAACTTCATGTCGCGGTCGCTGATTATTGTGCCTGCTATCCCGTGCAGTCGTATGACGGTCGCGATGAACACGCGAGCGGTTTCTTCGACTAAGATCGATTTCCTGCACGAAGCGAAGTGGGTCATTTTCGTCAGTCGGTCACAACAACCGTGTTACAATCCAAGTGGGACTTAGCGAAGGACCACTCAGGGTTGATTGCAGGGTAGTGTTATAGTGGAAGTGTTGAACTCAGGTTAGATTGAATGTAAATGACTGAGATTGATAATAGCATGCATACATCGAGTTTATATAGGAAATACAAAGGAATACTAAACGACCTAGATTAGCCATGTACTCTAAGGGGTACATTCCCTTATTACAGCAGAGTTCAAAACCGTGCGGCGCGGGAACCCGTTCCAAACCTGTTCCCACTATTTTCACTTCAAATGTTTCTGCCTGCATCGGACTTGGTCAGACGGTGACCAGCGTCGTTTCGACTCTTCTGACTCCCCGACTTCGTACTTTCGTAACAAACCGTAACCGCGTCATCAACTACAGGGCTCGAAGGTAACCCCATGCGAAATCCATGGTAACCTGGTGACGAAATCCATGGTAACCTGTGTGAAAGTTAGAACGAAGAATGCTAATTAGAAAGGGAATAGTACAAGGTTTATATAGGCAAAACCTATCAGGGCTGTACCCCATAAGGAGTGCCCCACTACAGCCTAGAGTATAGTTCTGGTACACCCCCATAGGCAAAGTGGGGGACAAGCAACAGAACAAGGCAAGATCAAGCTCATGGTGGATCACGACGTCACCACGCATTCTGAGCACAAGCAAAAGGTCACAAGGCCAGTTCACATGCAGAGTTATATATCAAGGTGAACAAGCAGTACAGTGATCTCAACCTAACAAATGTAAGCATGCAGGTGCAGGTATATATAGATCACAGTACAAGCAAAGTCAAGAGGTGAGCAAGTGAGGCCAGGTAGGCACAAGACCTAACAGAGTACAGAAACGCTGATGATCACAAGGCTGAAGTGCCTTGGTAAAGATATCAGCAGTGTTGGCCCGAGTGGCCACGTAAGCAAGACGAAGCTGACCACACTGCTGCAACTCTCGAGCAAGGAAGTAGCGCAGAGCAATATGCTTCGTTCTGTGCTCCAGTCTGTGCTCCTGACACAAGGCAATCATTGCCTTGTTGTCGACGTACAGAACTGGAGGAGAACGAGGCACCTCTCCCTAGTCGGTCAGCAGGTAGGTGAGCCAGCGTAACTCCTGTGCAGCCATGGCCCCAGCGTATATCTCAGCCTCACAAGTGGAGCTGAGAACAGAAGACAAGCGAGTAGACCACCACGAAATAGAGCCGGAACCAAGGCTGAAGGTGTAACCCTGTGACGACCGCTGCGTACCCAAGTCGTCAACCCAAGAAGCGTCTGCGTGACCAGTGAGGACAACTCGGGCCCTTCCTCCAAGCACGAGCCCCATGGCCGACGTACTGCACAGGTAGCGCAACACCCTCTTAGCTCCAGCCATGTGCTCTAGTCGGTGTCTCCCAGGAGCAACATAGCATGCTAGGATGCTAAGAGGGTATGCCAGGTCAGGTCGAGTGCAGGCCATCAGGTACATGAGGCAGCCCACAAGCTCTGGGTACGGGCCACTCGGCTCTACGGAATCATCCGAAGGCAGAGCTAAGAGCGAGTGGCGAGTAGACAGAGGAGTGGACTGTGGCGAGGAGTACGTGAAGTCGAAGCGCTGAAGGACCTGCTGCACCATGTGTGACTGAGTCAAGGTACTGGTGTGCCGTGCTCTGTCCCGGGTGATCAGCAAGCCAATATAGCTGCGCAGCTCACCGATGTCTGTGCACGTGTGTCTCTTCTGCAGCTCGGACTTCACGTGGGCCACTGCAGCAGTGTCAGCAGTGGCAAAGACCAAGTCGTCGACGTACACGAGGATGTAGAACGGCGGTAGAGTGGTGTCGGTGCGTAGAAACAGCGACGGGTCAGCAGTGGAAGGAGCAAACCCAAGAGCCGCAAGCGTAGTCTTCGGTGTGTCGTGCCACTCACGAGGCGCCTGGCGGAGACCGTAGACTGGCCGCCGGAGGCTCCGCTGGGTACCAGGAGGAAACGACCCAGCGAAGCCAGGTGGGCGGCGCAGCCAGATCTCCTCGTGCAGGCTGCCCTGTAGGAAGGCTGTGCTGAAGTCAAGAGAGTGAAGCTCGTAGTCACGCTGAGCGGCGACGTGCAGCAACACCCGAAGAGTGGTCATCTTCGGGGTGGGAGAGAAGGTCTGAAAGTAGTCAACTCCCTGTCGCTGACTGAAGCCTCGAGCAACGTAGCGCGCCTTGAAGATAGGCGGAGAACCCGGCGGCCGCTTCACCCTGAAAATCCACATGCCATCAACAATGTTCGCCCCAGGTGGGGGAACCACGTAAGTGCCTGTGGACTTCTAGGAAGCCATCTCTGCGTCCATGGCTGTCTGCCACTGAGAGGAGTAGGGACCCTCTATCGCCTCTGCGTAAGAGCGCGGGGTCGGGATGTCTGGTGCATCCGGGTCTCCCTCAGGGGCAAGCAGCATGGACACGAGATGAGGTAAAGCAGCAGCAAAACACTGGAAATCCTCCTGCCTGTCCTCAAAGACGTCCGTGCTAAGAGCACACTCACCCCCGACGGACGGAGGACAGACAGACTCATGTGAAGAAAGAGGAATGACTGAACTAGCAAGGAGATGGGTACAAGTAGGGAAACCTAGCAGTGTTGTACCCCATATGGTCTACCCCACTACAGCCTACACAGACTATGTCATGTATGTTTGACACACCCCCATAGGCAAATTGGGGGAGAACAAGAGGTCACAAGACTGGTCAAGCAAAGCAAGGCAAGCTCAGGGTGGATGAAAACGTCACCACAATCTGAGCACAAGCACAAGGCCACAAGGCCAGTTCACATGCAGAGTTATATATCAAAGTGAACAAGCAAGGTAATGACCAAAACCTAGCAAGGGTAAGCATGCAAGTGCAGGTATATATAGATCACAGTACAAGCAAAGTCAAGAAGTGAGCAAGTGAGGCCAAGTAGGCACAAGACCTAACATCGTACAAAAGCGCTGATGATCACAAGGCTGAAGTGCCTTGGTAAAGATATCAGCAGTGTTGGCCCGAGAGGCCACGTAAGCAAGGCGCAGCTGACCACGCTGCTGTAGCTCACGAGCAAGGAAGTAGCGAAGAGCAATGTGCTTCGTTCTGTGCTCCAGTCTGTGCTCCCGACACAAGGCCAGCATGGCCTTGTTGTCTACGTACAGAACTGGAGGAGAACGAGGCCGCTCTCCCAGGTTAGTCAGCTGGTAGGTAAGCCAGCGTAACTCCTGTGGAGCCATGGCCCCTGCGTAGATCTCAGCCTCACACGTGGAGCTGAGATCAGAAGACGAGCGGGTAGACCGCCACGAAACAGAGCCGGAACCAAGGCTGAAGGTGTAACCCTGTGACGACCGCTCCGTAGCCAACTCGTCAACCCAAGACGCGTCTGCGTGACCAGTGAGGACCACTGGACGCCGCCCTCCAAGCACTAGCCCCATGCCCGACGTACTGCACAAGTAGCGCAACACCCTCTTCGCTGCAGCCATGTGCTCTGGTCGGTGTCTCCCAGGAGCAACATAGCGTGCCAAGATGCTAAGAGGGTATGCAAGGTCAGGTCGAATGCAGGTCATCAGGTACATGTGGCAGCCAACAAGCTCTGGGTACGGGCCACTCGGCTCTACGGACTCATCCGAAGGCAGAGCTGAGAGCGAGTGGCGAGTAGACAGAGGAGTGGCCTGAGGCGAGGAGTACGTGAAGTCGAAGCGCTGAAGGACCTGCTGCACCATGTGTGACTGTGTCAGGGTAATGGTGTGCCGTGCTCTGTCCCGGGTGATCTGCAAGCCAAGGTAGCCGCGCAGTTCACCCAGGTCTGTGCACGTGTGTCTCTTCTGCAGCTCGGACTTCACGTGGGCGAGTCCAGCAGTGTCAGTTGTGGCAAAGACC